CTCTACAAGAAAATGCTACACCGTCAGTTTTTGTCTTTAAGCGCCCATATTCTTGGGCACAGCTCTTACCTAAGAACAAATGTGAAAATCGATGGTTAGAGTTTAATTACCACGGTCTTCGTTGGTGCTCAGGAGAAGTTCCCTACGAGGATCTAGCTTCAACCTTTCGAGCCATTATTAAAAAAGACGATGTTATTTACGTAAAAGGTCTTGAATAAATCGAATGGTTGCGCCGTGTGCTATTTAATAGGTACATTACTCATAGTATGATTATACGCTTTACTAAATATTTGCATAATATAATTATTTTTGTAGGTACATTTATGATATTAAGCAATTTCCAGCTTTAATAAAATTAGTATGGATAATATCGAATGCAGGCATCACCAATTTAATTCAGCTTATTGTGCTGTGAAGAATGCTGCAGCTTTAAAAAATGGATTTTAAAAGAGCAGCAATGACAAAACGATATTTTTTAATCAATGTACACCTGATACACAATACTTACGCAATAAATTAGTTCTTTATGAATCTATGTCGATTTTTTCCATTTATACCTCCTTATTACTGCGCCAATTAAAACTACTTTATCGTATTAACTGACTCTATTCGTTGGCGAGGTATTGCGGTGAAGAGGAGTAAGCCAAGCAATGTTGGGATACGCTTCCGGATTCGCGGTTGGAAAGGAAGGGAGCTGTCTGTACCATCCGACGTCACAGCATCCGGAAGAGGCCCCCTTTCCCTGTCGTTACCATCCGAGTAGTCTGCACCACCCACCACCCCTACCGCCCGTGCCCATCCTACCACCGCCCGATCAGCCTCTCCGCCACCACCGCCTCTCCTCTGCCACCCGATCAGCCTCTTTCCCACCCCCGCCTCTCCTCCACTGCCCGATGAGCCTCTCCCCCCACTACTGCCTCTTCTCCACCACCTCTTCTCCTACCACAGCTATAGCTAGTGCCTCACCCCCCACCACTACCTCAGGGGGGAGCTCGGGGGTGACAGAACCACCATGGTTTACCTACTGGCAATCCATTATTTTATTGTATTCATGAATTAATTATTGCTATTGGCCTGGTGTAGAACTGGTGGTGACATCTAAAATGCGACTCCTGTGGGGCCAGCGTTGGCTGCGATGATCAAAAATTTGATGCCGTATGTTAGTGAAGCCCACTAGAGCTCAGTGTAACTACATATAACTATTTATAAAGTGATCGCGGTGGCGCAACGGTAGAGTTGCAGTTTCGTCGATTTCCGAGCTTAAACTGCATTTGGCGCGGTTAGTACTTGGATGGGTGACCACTTGGTCACCATTCGGGTCTCGCCGTTTCGCCTATGCTTTTGATTCTCGAAGGTCGATTAACTGTTTCTCTGACGCTTCGTCTACGCGATCATAGGTGAGACTGAGTTGGTCCAGATGTTTATATATGTACATAATCATCTGGTCATAACTCAGGTGCACCGATGGCTAATTAACACTATGTTTGTGTAAAAGAATGCCACGTCTGATCCTATGGGCGATGATGAATAAAAAGAAAAAAAAAATTATATATAAATGTTGGTTCGCGGCTTGATTAGCAGTGGCGCTGAGCTCTACTAGGCTTCACTAACATTCAGCCTGAAGGTTGCGTTAGGTATCAAACTTTTGACTATCGCGGCCAACGCTGTGTGGGACTGAACTGGCGAACGTAGATCCCTATATTGTGTGGGAAGTAATAAAAATTTCAAAGGTCACAATAATATAAAGAACATCCAAAGCACTACTTCTCAACATAGTATGCATGAATAAATTTCGAATAGAAAAAATCAGAAAGAAGTTAAATATAACTGTCCAATAAAATACTAGGTAAATTTAAGTTATATTTATGATACTGTCAGTTTTTTATATAGCTATACTCTGCTGTGATGCTCTTAGTAATATTGGTCTTTAATTACATAAGGGTTAAAACGGGAAGGGAGGGTCTCAGAAATCTCTACATTCTCTTACGTTGACAGGGGGGGGGGGGGTACGAGCACTTCTTACGTAATATTTTGAGTACATTCCGAAACTCACGTGTACGTCAAAATTATCACTTACTTGCAACTCAAAATTTACGTTATACTTTCTGAGAAACTTGGTTTGTTACTAAGCTTGTGTATTATTATGTGTCAAAATTTACCTGGCGTTGCGCTTTTAACGCAGTTTCCATTTGTCTGATAGAGGTTTTGCATGTTGCAACTATTAAGGGTAAAATAAAAAATGTGGAATTTTTTCTTCTACTTTTTACTGATTGGCTCTGCAATTATTCGAGACAGTCAGTTGTTTTTGTAGACATTAACTCAAAGTTAATGTTTTTTCACTTCCTGAAGAAAATACACTTTTATGTGATTTGTCACTTGTTAAAGTCCACTTTGCAATGTATAATGGTATAACATTGGTAAAACGTAATAAACATAATAGGTACAACATCTATTTTGAATATTGTATTTAGATTAAATCTTTTATTTACTTTTATTATTTTAAATTATTTTATTATTTGGATTATTGTTGAAAAAGTTTCTATTATTACAGATTTCAATATCCTTTTTTTTAGGATTGCTTCATATCTAGTTGCTCGTTATTAAATGCAAATAAAGTATTCCTCGTTAACAATTAATAAATAATCTGATTTCTTACTTTAAAATTATTTAAAACATTATTTATAAGTATTATTTGCATTTTCATCCTTACGTAATTAAAGACGGGCCCTTGACTGTCATTGGTTATCATTTTCTCAGAAGACAACACTCTTTTTTTCTTTCTCCGTTCTACTCTTCACCTTATTATTCTGTTATGTAACGATATTAATACACTGACTTCTTCATTTTATATAGAAGTCATGGTGACTGTCAATCCGTTGGTAAAGTGGACCCATTTTGTTAAGTTAATAAATGGAAAAATTAATATGGTGGAAGCTGCTATGTGTGAAATCTGCAAGCGAATTTTTCGAATATTCAATAGCCAAATTTTTCATGCCCACAGGTATTTTTATTCATATTTTCTCACTTTTAACAACTAGTATTTTTAAACGAATACGTAAGGACAAATTTAAATCTTGTCAGATAATCATGTAGAGATATTTGCCTGTGACAACTCCACATACAACAATGCAAAAAAAAAGGAAAAGTCCAGATGAGCAGGTAAGAATCATTACAACGATCAAAACTTACACATTAGTGTAAACTTTTTTAAGGTTCTTGTCATGTGTATGTTCATCATAACAAAACTAATCTTAGCTTGAAGTTATGGTAAATTAAAGTATTCTGAACCTGCACACGTTTTGAAAATTCCTAATATACTTGAATAGAATAATAATGAACAATGATAAGCAGTTTAACACACTGATCATACGTAGCAGCGGTAAAAATAATCTAAGACTTTTGAAATAACAAAATTACATATATGCAAAATAACATATTTCAGATCAAGTTTTCAAGGTCACATGTATATAAAAAAAAAAAACCAAAAAAAAAAAAAAAACGAAAAGAGTACAGGTTAGTTGACGGCATTTTTAGTGATAAGTCAACCCTGTAACTACAAGTTATTATGGCATGAGTGAAGGTGGTTTATCACAAAATTAAAATACTTTAAGTATCAATCAAACTTGCATTAAGAATCATACTTGAATATTAAAGGAATCATCTCACACAATTTCAAACCATATTTGCCAAGCAATTTTTCAAAACGAAGCACTTTAAAATTTGTGTTTAACGTGGTCTCTTATAGGATGCCATTAAATTTTGATAAAATTTGATACAATATCTTCCACATAACTTAACTTTCATTATAAAATTAGGTACTGGAAACAAAAATCATAAGCTTTTTAATTATATTAAGAAAATGTAGGTTCACCTCGAAACATTTTATAATATTGTATCAATTAGATAACTGTTTATGCAGAGATACAGGTTTCTTGAACTGTGTCAACTTTATCACCCCATGCTTTTAGGTGTAATAGTATATGATATCACGTAAATAGATAGTACAGGTGTGATGAGCCATCTGAAACGATATAAATATAGTCCAGTAAAGATGGCTTTTAAATAATCTGGTGCGTCAAGCATGTGGGGTCTAATTGCGTGCTTCAATATACACAATACGGTTCGAGAGTCACCGTCACACTACTGACCTTATGACGAAAACAGAAAGTTAACTTTTTGATGTTCAATGGTATATGATGACAGTAAATTTGGAAAGCGATTGCGTATATCGAAGAATTTAATCAAACCCCTGCATTATTGATAATGTTCTATCGATTAAGTAAGTCAAGGTCGTAGAAAACAATGGTAAAACTTTCAGATTCCTAAGAGCGCAGGTTCTATATTTTTTTGTAAAAAAATTCTAATATTTAGCGAACGGTAATGTGGGTCAAAAATAGTTTACACCATTTGAAAGAGGAGAAAAAAGTACGTATGAAACAATACATAGATTCTATATACAAAAGTAATTTTGCATTCAGTTTTTTACTACTGTGTTTCTCGAGATTTGATGTTGGTTAAAAACGAGTAAGTACTCATTTTCCACGTATATTTTGCTCTTTTTTTCAAATGGTGTAAGCTATTTTTTGATCCACATTACCGTTCACTGAATATTAGCATTTTTTTTACAAAAAAACACATAACCCGTTTACTTAACAAGCTGAAAATGTCACTGTTTGAGAAACTCTTTATTTATTGAATACAAGGGAAGCGGACCTGGTGACAATGAATAGCGCACTTTTCTGCGTGCTATGCTCTGCTAATATTGTTGGCGGACTAGCTGTCTCAAGTGGCTTGCTGGCTGCTGACGGTGTGGCTTGGCTGGCAGAGGCGTGTAGCTGGCCAGCTAATGCGTGAACCTGTGTATCAGGAGACGAACAGAACTGGCCCCGGCACAGGCCGTCGATGCCAGCGGCAGTGGCGTAACGAAGCGCCGAGACGATCAGGAGGGGGGCCCGACTGACAGTATATCGTCCCGCCCGCCTCGTTCCAGGAACGAAACTTTAAGTCCCGCCCACCGTATCCAGAGCGGTTTTGCCTCCGGGCGATGCAGGCTGAGAGGCGGTCTGGGTTATCATCGGAAGCAGCGTGACTTTCGTGATTGGCCTGGTGTATTCTCCCGTCGCCGTTCGGACGGTCACAGCGCTTACGAGGCCGTCCGGGCCAGGGTGAACGCCAGTTATGCGGCCGAGATGCCAGCGGCCGTCGGTCGAGAGTAGAGATGAGTCAAGGACGGTGACGATATCACCCAAGGTCAGGTTCCGATGAGGGGTGATCCACTTCGATCGCTGTTGAAGAGTATTAAGATACTCCCGACTCCATCGGGCCCAGAATTGTGCTCTGATGCCCCGGACAAGCTCCCATTGAGCCAGATGGTCGAGATCCTGATCGGGTGGCGCGGCCTCAATGATTGAATTGAGGGGGGCTCCGATGAGAAAGTGACTGGGGGTCAGCACGCCCAGGTCGTCCGTGTTGCCCGACAGTGGAGTGAGGGGACGGTTGTTGAGGACAGCTTTGATCCCGACCAAGACGGTTGAGAACTCCTCGTACGTTAGGTGCCGCGAGCCCATGACTCGCCGGAGATGACCTTTGATGGACTTGACCACGGCCTCCCAGAGACCTCCAAAGTGAGGGGCCCGGGTGGAATAAAATGCCACTCGATACCTTGATCCGCTAGGGCAACTCGCGACGAGGTCCCACCGGTGCTCAGCAAGACGGAGCGCGTCGCGCAACTCGGTGTCAGCTCGATGGAAGCACGTCGCGTTGTTGCTCCAGAGTTCAGACGGTTTTCCCCGGCGACCAGAGAAGCGGGTGAGAGCCGCATAAAAGGAGACGGTTGATAGATCGCCCACGAGCTCCAGATGTAGTGCCTTCGTGGTGAGACAGACAAATATGGTGATGTAACCCTTTGTGGTGCGAACGCCTCGGCCCTTAGCTGCGAGGACGTGGAACGGCCCGGCGGAATCGATCCCAGTACGACCGAAGGCGCGGAAGGGAGTAACTCGTGACCGCGGGAGAGGAGCCATCAATTGGACAGCTGATCGGGCTTGGAGGCGAGCACAAGTAACGCAACTGTGTAGGAAAGCCTTGACTTTTCGGGAGCCACCGATGATCCAAGCACGCTTGACGGTGTACGCGCAGGTAGTGCAAAAGCCCCCGTGGAGCGCTCGGTGATGGGCCCACGCGATCGTAAGCGTGGTGAGAGGGCAAGCGCCGTCAAGGAAGGGTGGGTGTCGCTCCGCGAAGGTCATCTCGGCGTGCTGGAGGCGACTGCCCACACGCAGAACGCCGTCTGTATGAACGAAGGCTGCAAGCAATTTGAATTTTGAATTTGAATTGAATTGAATTTATTGTTTTAAAGAGCTAAAGGCTACAGCCCTTGATAGCTTGGCTTACTATATGATTATTGCTATCAACAGCAGTTGCTGCAGATAACTGCAAAACACGTATACACATATATTAGTTCGGAACGATTTAAAATTATGTTATATCAATAAAACTAACAAATAGAACTAACAAATAAAATTACAATATCTAAAGAAGTGATAAATGTGAGAGCAATACTGTAAATATAAGTAATAAATAAATAAATATATGTGTATATGTAAGTTTCAAGTTGCTTTAAACGTGAAACTTCGGACGGTTAGGAGTGGTGTTGAATGGCACAAAATCAGACACAAGTTGATGCAGAAAGAAATATAACTGTAATTTTAATAACAATAATAATTGTAAATAACAATACACAAAATTAATATTAAAACAATGTTACAATGCTGATTACCTGAATCAACAATTATGTCGCTTTAGGTGTTACAAGCTTACATTAACAACTTTACATTACACAACAATTATACAATACAATTTTATATTTGGTGCGAACACATTGAGCGCTTGTAGCTAACTGACTAGAGTACGTGGACAACGAGAGGCGAGGGTGGTGATGACGGTTGAGCTGTGTGCTTTCATAATGACTCATGAGAATCATGAGTCGCACCAGCGGCTAAGTTTGTAAGTGTTAAATACAACAAACTTACAT